TTCTTATAGACGCCAAATTGGATTTTTCAATAGGTGAATACAGTTTTGAGTTTTGTTTCCAAAAATGTATAATATGTCATACATTCACAATGCAAAGCAATATTTATTTCACAAAACATAATTCATTAAGTAGGCCTTGAATTTATCCGATAGCAATTTGTTTCTATCATCAGCCAAGCATTTTTTATGAACTAAACTTAGGTGAACAGACTATATTTCCAACTTCAATTATGTGATATTATGACATGGATTGGTACTATAAAACTTCAAATATCTAAAAAAATAATCTTCCTATGACTCATCTAATAAAAAAGAATTTAGTGTTGAAACTTCATATTATTGGGTCGTATTGAAAATATTAAAAACAGTATTATTTTAAGTATCTGATAGAAACACATTTCATATTTGTGATATCTAAACTGATGCACACATCTTGCATTCAAATATTATTAATCTACGGCTGACATGTCATGTAGAGCGGCTGCATCGTGCTAAAATAACGCTTGTTGAAGTCGATAAATGGGCAATTTATCTAAATACGCTTTTCGGAAATTGAAGCATTGGTGATTTTAGTTTTTGAAATAACTTTGACAATGTGAATGTATGAAATTATACATTTTTGGAATAAGAATTAAAAACTCGGAAACATATTCAAATTCTAAGTATTCCATCTTGTAGAAGAGGAAAAGGTGTTTTTATTATTTCGAAATAATATCCCAAATAAAGCCAGGAAAATTTAAAACCATTGTGGGAAAATTCTATGTTTTCGTATTCTCGTATTTCCGGAAATACCCGGAGTTGCGAAACTGTCTAAGTGCCATTTTCTTAGTTACTTGAATGGGCAACTTTGCCCCCATTTAGCCGACTTCGTATTCCTGAGATCCTAATGATGAGAGTCGAATTTGTATATTTACTTATTGAAAACGTATTATAAGCAAGATATAAAATTTAGTTATTTCATTTTAATTCTACCTTCCCGGGCAGCTGAATAAATATTTGAATGGTCATAATCCTCAGTTCTTTTTTGATACGTAAAATGTTCAAGAAATTGTAAATTTAAAACAATTGTTCTGTGTAAATAGCCCAGCAATTTCGTCTAAGTACTAAATTAAGTCTCTCCAAATTCCAACCGAATAAGAACACTTGGTTAACTACAAACGAAGATATGCAACACAAAAATATTTAATTTCGCAGTAATTTCATGCCAAGTGTTGAGAGTCAAGCAGTTCTTCTCACCCTCCATATTACACGCTACTGAAAATCGACAATTTGAATCCTCCATTGGGATGACAGCCCTTATAGGTTATCCCCCGAACTTTGACGTTTATCTCACCAATCGCAGCTTCTTGCCGACTACTGCAGCCCTTTCATAAACAACAAAACCTCATGTAGAACCTAGGTAGAAACTTGTTCATCACGCAAACCTCTATTTCTAGCACATAAAACAGCTGATTATGCACTTGGACTCTGCATCACTCCAAAATTAATATTTGTTCGTTACTAAACGTTTAAAAAATGTACTGCTGGATTGAAAGTGTAGTCTAGAGCGTCGTTACGACGCCATAAAATAAATCGTTCTAACTTGAGGATGAAAACAGAAAATGTAGTAAAAACTCACCTTAAGAGTCACACAACACAGCCATATACAGATATTGATTTTGTTTTGCTACCTGTGTCTAAATTTAGATTCATATAATTTTTGCGTTTTGTGTCATTCAATGCGAGAAACTTAAGATTTCCGATTTGCTTTATTGTGGTTACCCTATGGAATTTAAATAGAAAATGTCGGAACCTTAATGAAGCTCAAAGAGAATAATTGCCTTCTTGACAGAAAATTGGTATACATACTGGATTTGTTATCAAATTAAGGACATGTAGGATAAAATGGATTAACATTGGTAGGGTTATGACCTCATTTCATCAACCTATTTAATCTCTGATTGAGCTTGTGTTTAAATAATAAAACTGACGTAGTCGATTAAATTAAAATGATTGATCAGCTGTATTTTGTTATCGGGAGTATTATAACCACAGAAGAGGATATGGATATTGATTGAAGATATAGTAATTTGATTTTCGCGCTTCACCAGTAATAAAGTGAGCTGCCACTTCCAAACATGCCTCAATGGAAATCAGTTGTGCAGAGGAAGACCAGATGGCGCTATAGTGACGATATTGCGTTTTACGTGAGTTTAATTACATCCAGTGGTGGATCTAGGATGATTGAGCAATGGGGCATGATAATGAACGGGGAAATGTAATAGCAATAAGGGCAACATACCATAATGAAAAACAAGGTTATAGTTTCATATTTCTTTTAAATGTAAAATGCTCAAAATTCGCAAGATCATAAGATAAGACTCAGAACATGCAATTTTGAAATATGGTACCAAAAATGCTAAAACGCTGAGACATTAGAATTAATGAAAATCGACTTTCTATTACTCGGTAGCATAGGACAAACTTTTTAGCTAGTTGCAGGATGTGCCACAGACGGATTTTTACAAAAAAAAAATAATACAAGAACTGACTTAAAAACAACTAACACTAAAATCCATACTGTGCCACACGAAACCTACTAATGAAAGTATAGATACAAAAAATTCATTTTGAAAACTTCCCACCACGGATTTATCGAAAACCACTGATTAAAAGGAAAAATGCCGAGACAGGTCAAAAGACTTGTCAAGGGGGACAACTTTTAAACCAAAAACTACTTCTCTCCCTTTCACCCTCTGCTGCCCAGGGTCATCGCCTTAAAAATTTTAAATGATAAGGGGTATCGAGTAATAGCTTCATGAAAATTAGAAAAATCAAACGAAAATATCACTTTTTATTTCAATAAGTGTCCAAAGTGTTGCCCGTTATTGGCCAAACAATGGTATGGGCGATGTTCATATTAATGCCGGACATTTTCAAAAACATGTTGTGGGATATCATGGCAGCTGTCGATGATGCGTTGACGAAGTTCATCCAAACTTTGAGGTTGGGGAGTAAACAAGACAGGTTTCAAATGGCCCCATAGAAAAACGTTTAATGGCGTCAAATCAGGAGATCTAGAAGGGAATTCTATAGGCCCTCTTCGCCCTATCCATTTATCTGGAAACTCGTCGACTAGCCATTGCCGAACCGGAAGAAAATAGTGAGGAGGAGCGCCGTCTTGCTGGAAATATATTTCAGCCTCATCAAGTATAGGGTTTCCATCCTCTTGGTTTTCAATTGTTTCAGCGATAAGCGGATTGATGGTATTTTCCAACACATCCAAATAAATGTCTCCATTCAAATTTCCATTAATAAACAATGACCTAATCGCTTTGTTTCCTAAAATGCCTGCCTATACATAAATTTTGGTTGGTAGTATCCGTTTTAAATTATAAACGAATTGTAAATTTGGCAAACCCTAACGGGCAACATTTTGAACACTTATTGAAATAAAAAGTGATATTTTCGTGTGTGTTTTTTTCTATATTAACAAATTCAGATAAATAAAGATTTCCCTAATTTTCTCGAAAATGAATCGACTGATTTTGAAAAATTAAACGTCAAAATAAAGGACTTGGAAAGACCTTTCAAACAAGCTATTTCTCGATACCCCTTGTCATTTAAAGGGGGTGAAGTAGTTTTTGGTTAAAAAGTTGTCCTCCGTGACAAATTTTTCGAAGTGTCTCGGCGTTTTTTCTTTTAATCAGTGGTTTTTGATAAATCCGTGGTGGGAAGTTTTCAAATGAACACCCTGTATAAAATTGAACGTAACTGCCGTAAGTGCTACATTGGTGAAACATCAAGACCTGTTAAATGTACAATTAAATAATATAAAGGCTATATAAGAAAGGGAGAAACATCCAGATCAGCACTAAGCGATCATGTATGGGAAACAGGACAAATGGAAGGAAGTCTCGATACTAACAATTACAAAAGGAAGGCAAAGGAATCAGCTTATATGAAATTAAGCAATAACTGTCTTTCTAGTTCTTCGGGGGACTGTGACCCAATTTGGTTGAATATCATTGAAGGGACGGTGTAATTGATATTTTCTAACCAAACTAATGGATCATGGATTTTTTATCCAGTTTTTTTTTTCATGGTTTGTGGTTGGATCTTAAACGCGCAGATGTTCTTACTTCGACATTTCAAGGCCAAACTGTTGTGTCTTATATTATTTTCTCACAGGACAAACAACATCGTTCCATTTAAATGTCGAAGTACTATTTCTTGCGTTTCAGATCCATAAACAATGCATTTGCAACGTTCTAGTTGAATAGTGTATAACAATAAACCAGTGTGTCGCGACAACAGTTCTGGGTGGGTGTTCACGTTTTTTTTCCTGTTTGAGTGCTTTTGACGTCTTCGGAACGATGGACGAGGGTGACGCATTCGGTAAATTTAAAAAAAGAACCACGTATTGTCGCTTATCGTTTTGAAGGGCTGGACGTCCTTTTTTGGGAGCGGGAATGGGCTATGCTGATTTTGCGTGGTACTATCTTAAGATTTGGAATGATGGCTTCGCCCAATCTCAACATGTGGCAGGCTTTTCACACTATTGTGGTAACATACTGTTTTGGTATATGGAAATTATAAAAACAACCGAAATGTCACCTGGAAGACAGATAAATAAAATGCATTGTCGAAGTCACTGTACTGAAGAAGGTCACTATTGTGTTGCTTTTTAAAAATGCTAGTGTTTGCAGATAGACGATTTCAAGACATCGTACTTCTTGCATAATTTGGAAAGAGGGGCACCAGCCTGATAAAGGTAGATCTTTCCACCGATAAGTATTATTATTATTATTATGTTGATACAACGTTGTCACGATGTCAGGCAATGGTAGTCAAATGAGTCAAAAGTATGCACTAAAACTGCGCAATTTTGGCGGTAAACATGTAATGTAAACATATAGACTTGACTCCTTCCTATCTATTCGAATTTGTTGGTTTGACCACACTTTAGTGGGTGCATTTTCAAAGTACAATTGAAGGTATTCTCATGATTAACTAATTGATTACTTACCATTATTCTGCGAGTTCATGAGTATACTCAGGGGACACTCGTCATCATCCAGGATGTAGTCAGTATCTGGACATCCCGGCTGCTGGGTCACTTGCACTAAACACCATTGGGACGGATCGGTTTTGCTGAGGCCGTACTTGTCCAGCATCTCGCGAACTACCGCACCCGCGCAATCGCGAATCGATAACAACAGCGTTTTGTACGGTACGTCTTTGCACAAGGCTTCGCCGTAGATCTTCAGGGTACCACCTGCAATCAAATAAATGTTTTGAGCAACTGCTGATAGGATACATAGAGCCAAAGCTTATGAGGAACATGCAGAAACATAATAGCATTTATGAATTTTTTCCACTTAATTATCTCAGAATATGTCTATTTTAAAGTTTCACCAACATACTTATTCCTATATTAGTACTTGATCACTCTCTAACAGTTCGCAATTTTCGAATTTTTTTCCAAAATTCAACAATATTCGGAAAAGTTGCTGACTATTTTCATATCGCATCAAAAGATGAAAGAAATGGATACAAAAATAATGTAGCGATTTTCTGGGTTCTTTTGGGTGTGAATTAAAACACTGGATTCCACAAAAAGAAATGCACTAATTTATTTAACTTGATAGAACATTTATGTACACCACTATTTATGTCTGACTAATTCTTATGTCGCACCATTGACTGGACTATACTCCACTCCGCTCTGCTACTCTACCGTACTCAGCACTCTGCTTCCATCTCCCGGCCGCCGAGTTATATAGTCCGCATTGTTGAGTCGAGACGAATCGGGAGTCACATAGCGGCCTTCCAGAATAGTCGAGGTTACTTCGCGTCGTAGAAGGTGGGTCACTGCCACGGTCCTCACAGACGCCGCCAAGCGGCTTGTGCGGTCGTGGTCCGCGTAAAAGAGATCGGCGAGTAGGAGATTCTCTCAACAGATGGCGCCAACAGCACTATTTATCGTCACAATAATAGAATTGAACTCAAGTTTTTACTCTCAGCGCATCACTTCATTTTCATAATATTCGAGCGATGCTATAAAAGAAATCCACCTTGCCATGAAAAAAAAAACAATGAAACGCACAAGCGTAATATGTCAAATAGTGGCATGTGTTCAAACCTTGCTTGCAAAATTTGAGTTGACTTTGATACACTGAACTGTGAGGAAAAATGAGTAACTCCAAATTAGAGTATCGCAGTTTCATAACATTTCTGACAAAAGAGGGCCATCAGTCGAAAACAATTCTTGAGAGAATACACAACAAAATGTTCGTCGAAACAGTTTCGATGTGGATGTGAATCCATCAAAGACGATCCCATAAGTGGAAGATCCAAAACAGCAACAACTTATGAAATGACTCAAAAAGTTGAAGCCATGGTTCTCGAAGATCGTCGTGTGAAGGTCTCTACCATTAGTATGGCATTTAATATATCAAAACCCGGCATAATAATCATGTTGTACGAGAATTTAAACATGAATAAGGAGTCAGCCAAGCGGGTTCCACGGCTGTTGACTTCTGTCAAAAATTGCTCAGTTTTGAAATTTCAAAAAGTGTTGGGAAACTTTGACCAACGATTCTGAAAAGAGTAGGAAATTTTATACACCTTGGCCATGGTCCATTTCAAGGTAAAATCAAGACAATTGCAAAAATGTTCGACAGCCAAGTTGAGAGGTTTGTTGAGATAACTCCACTTGGTCACCTTGATCATGATCTTGACGGTCACGTCAAAATTTCTACAGAAAATATCTCATTTTTACATTGGCAAAAGCAGGAAATTTTACTCCCGAATGTGACCTTGACTTCAAAGTAAAAGTCGTGTCATGTTAAATGTTATTTGAGGTCAAGGTCATATACGGAGATAAAAATTCCATTTCCAGTATAAAAATGAGGTTTTCTAAGAAAATTTTAACTTGACCTTGAAGGTCATGGTCAATGTAACCTTTGGGCGATCCCGACAAGCCTCACAACTATGTTGTCGAACATTTCTGCGATACCAAATTGATTCCGATGCCTTTATTTGACCTTGGAATGGCCAAGGTGATATTCGGACGTAAGATTTCCTTCTCTTTTGAATGCCCATGTGAAAAGGGGGAGCTCCATTTGAAAAGAATTTTCTGGTCCTTGAAATGACCTTGTCAAAGTCAAGTCAAGGTAACAATCATTTTGCCCTCTTGAAACACTGCAACATTTGCTTGGACGTTTTTTTCTAGAATGCGCATTTTTTAAACATATAGTTGGTGAGATAAGAATGGGACACCTTGTATAAACAATCATTATTAACACTTATTGGAGCGAAGCATTTTAAATAACAAGGAATCTTTTACATAAAAAAGTGTTATAATAACTGCAGTTAATCCCTTTGACAACATCAATACTATCTTCTGCAAATTATAATTCAGTACCAAGAAATGGGTGGTACAAACATACTCATTTCACATTTGTCATTGTGTTTAATAATTTACATAACAATATAACATATTCTTCTATTTATCAAACTAGTTATGCTAATTGTATTCAAATAGAATAACGCTCTCGACACGAACTAGAAGCGGGATTCGCCATTTTTAAATCTCCATCGGTATGTGGGTGTTTTACGAGTTTAGCGTAAACACGCTTTATCAATAAATATATTTTATTCTATCCGCGACATTACGTCCGAGACGATAAGTTAATTAGCATAACTGTTGATTATCGCTAATTGCACAACAATCGGAAACTGTATCGGCTGTAAATAAATACAAGATAAAGCTGCAAGTTTCAGATTATTTTCGACTATAATAGTCCTAGCATAGTAGTTGTCCAGGGTGTCCGGTAAATAGTGCGACAACAAAAAAAATAGGGACGGTAGGGGCAGTTCAGATCTACAACATACCAAAAAATGACCCTAGTAAAAGTTTCACTGTTTTTCAGATTTTTTTTGTCTATCTTTTTTTAATCTATCTTTTGTTGCTGTGCCTAGAAATAACAGGATATCTCTTTGTTTTTTCTTGCAAAATATTCTCAGAGAGTTGGACTGCCATTTGAAATATCATTTTCGATAAATACAAGGACAAACTTGACAAACTAATTTCTTCTTCCTAATTTTTATTTTAGAAAACTATTTCACTCAAGTTCAGCAATGAAATAAAAATGTACTAGACGGCTACTGCAAAGTACTACGATAAATTACCTGCTTAATCAGCAACAAAAGGTAGATCAAACGAAAAAATGATACCTCAAAAACAATGCAACTTTTACTAGGGTCATTTTGTTGTAGATCTGCCTTTCGCCTATCTTCCTAATTTTTTTTTGTCGTACTATTCACCGGACACCCTCTATAAAGAAAAGACAGACAAGGCAAAAATAATAGAGAGAGATAAGAGATGACTCCAAAAACATGGCTTCCACAAAATGGCTGATGGCGCCTAAGCACGGCTGTTCTTATTTAGTCGGAGATAAATGACGTGTTGCCAGATAAATATTCCATTTTTTATGAGTTTATTATCCATCACTTGTAGTAGGTAAACGTATCCACTTTTGGTTGGATATTTATTCATGGTGATGATATTTGCATATTTGATATTTACCTATTGAAACAATTCACATCATATATGGTAACAACAAACAAGAAAAGGATTATGGACAATATGTTTATAAAATCACGCTTTTGATTCAGTGCTTCTGTGTTGTAATTCATTATTATAGTTTGTATAATATAAAAATCATTTTTTGAGATGTATGAAAGTTACGTCTGTAAGTAAATATACCTAAAATTTAAACTATTTGTACTACTATAGAAAATGTTCCCTTGATGTTGGACACATAATGAATGTGTTGCTTTCGAGATAATCGTCAGACATTGTAGCTCATTCATTATAATGCATGGACGTGAAAAATTAGAAGACAAGTTTTATTAATAAAACCAATGAATCAACTTCCAGAAACCCATTCATTATTAATACTGTTGTTTTTGTCGCAGTAAATGGACACATTTAACCAATTAGATATAGACTGGTACAAATAATTTAATCGAGTGGTTTAAAGAGTATATATTCACGATCAAGGAAGTAGTGAACATCAAGAGAACCTTCATTCATTAACAGTTGTTTTTCTCTAAGCGCGCGAGGATGGAATTTATGAATCACGATAATCCTGAGAATATCGAATGTGTCCGTTTACGGAAATTACCAAGCGTTTTTAGTATAAACAAGCTAAGAATCTAGGTCCAGTATTATACAAGATGTCCCAACTGTGCGAGGAGAAAACTATTTATGGATTATTATAAACTTCTCACCAAGGGGGACAATCTTAATTTCTACCAAAAACTACGTTATCCCCTTTCACCCTCTGTTCCCCAGGGCCAGCTCCTTAAAAATTTTAAATGACAAGGAGGTATAACAGCTTGTTTGGAAGGTCTTTCGAAGTCCTTTATTTTGACGTTTGATTTTTTGAAATCGGTCGATTCGTTTTCAAGAAAATTAGAAAAATCTTTATTTAACTTAATTTGATCAGATAGAAAACAAAACCGCACGAAAATATCACTTTTTATTTCAATAAGTGTTCAAGAATCAAGATGTTGCCCGTTAGGGTTTGTCAAATCTACAATTAGTTTATAATTTAAAATGGAAACTACCAACATAAACAGCAATTCGGAAGACGTGGCAACGACCAAATAACAACCCGACTTTTTTTCCGTATCCTTTTCATCAACACAGATATCCTTGGCGAACTACATTTATTGACCTGTTTAGTTATTTGTTGCTAAGAGAAAGAAAAAATTTGATTTGCTGTCCGTTACCTTTGTGATAATCTTGGGATAGTGAAAATTAATTAATTGATTCAGATTTTACTTCAAAAATAGTTTACACACTAGCCGAAAGAATGAATGATTCTAATTTTTGGTGCCCAAAATCAATGTGCTCGGCAAATTGCCGTCATGTTTAGCGCCAGACATCCGGGGCAGATAATTTCGCATAGGTATGTTTTGGACCTTGTTACTAAATTTACTCAAATTGGATCTGTTGCAAATTGAAAACGTGATCATCGGAGAATGTTGTAGGAAGCCGCTAAACAAATGACTATTGAAGCAATGCATCATCATGCTTTTGTAGAAGGGCATACCCAGTACCCCCAAAAAATTAATGTATAGGCAGGCATTTTAGGAAACAAAGTGACTGGGTCATTGTTTATTAATAGAAATGTGACATTTATTTGGATATGTTGGAAAATACCATCAATCCGCTTATCGCTGAAACCATTGAAAACCAAATCGAAGAGAATGGTAACCCTATACTTGATGAGGCTGAAATATATTTTCAGCAAGACGGCCCTGCCCCTCACTATGTTCTTCCGGTTCGGCAACGGCTAGACGACGAGTTTCCAGATAAATAGATAGGGCGAAGAGGACCTATAGAATGACCTGTCAGGAATTTGAACATCGCCTCTATCATTGTTTGACCAATAACGGGCAACATTTTGAACACTTCTTGAAATAAAATGTGATATTTTCGGGTGTCTTTGTTTTTCTTGAAAACGAATCGACCGATTTCAAAAAATCAAACGTCAAAATCAAGCACCTCGAAAGACCTTCCAAACAAGCTATTACTCGATACCCCTTGCCATTTAAAATTTTTAAGGGGATGACCCTGGGGGCCGAGGGTGAAAGGGGGTGAAGTAGTTTTTGGTAAAAAAGTTGTTCCCATTGGCAAATCTTTTAACGTGACGCGGCGTTTTTTTTTCAATCAGTGGTTTTCAATAAAGTCGTGGTGGGAAGTTTTCAGATGAATGTATCTAGTAGCCCTTTTAAACGAACAAGACGGATATAACATACTTACGGGTTTTGGTTATTAGTTCTTGAATTAACGGGTATTTTACAAAAAAAAACATCAAAGTTTGACAGCCTGCATATCTGCTACGTTATCAGATGGAGTCGTGAATTTAGTATGAAAAGTTATTACTTTACTCAATTAATCCATTATTCGAATGATCGATACAGGGTGGTCAAGAACGCAAAATGTACTTTCTCGTGAAAAAATTAAAAGAAACACCCTGTATATTTTTGCGCCATCAGATCCCCATTTTCATGAGCTTTATTTTTAATATACGATTGTAATCAGTATGTTTAAACGGTTTTATTATAGCTATTTGTTTAAAAAATGGATATTTCTCTATTCAAACAAGACACATCATCCCATGGAAACAAAAAACAAGTAAACGAGTATTGACAATCTATCTATAAAATCAGGATTTTATCAAGAAATCAAGTAATTCAATGATTTTGTGTTATAATTAATTATCGCAGATTGATATCATAAAATTAATTTCTGAAATGTCGGAAAATGACACCTACAGTAGCGGGCAAAAGCTTGGGAACATTATTAGTAATTTTATTTATCGAAAACCACTGATTAAAAGAAAAAACGCCGAGAAACGTCAAAAGATTTGTCAAGGGGGACAATTTCTTACACAAAAAATCCTTCACCCCCTTTCACCCTCTGCGTCCCAGGGTCATCTCCTTAAAAATTTCAAATGACAAGGGGTATCAAGTAATAGCTTGTTTGAAAGGTCTTTCGAAGTCCTTTATTTTGACGTTTGATTTTTTAAATCAATCTATTCGTTTTCAAAAAATTAGAAAAACCTTTATCTCAATTTGTTCAGAAAGAAAACAAAACACACGAAAATACCACTTATTATTTCAATAAGTGTTCAAAATGTTGCCCGTTATTGGCCAAACAATAGATTTCAAATGACCCCATAGAAATGTCTAAGGGCGTCAAATCAGGAGATCTAGAAGGCTATTCCATAGGCCCTCTTCGCCTTATCCATTTATCTGGAAACTCATCGTCTAGCCATTGCCGAACCGGAATAACATAGTGAGGAGGTGGTATTTCAGCCTCATCAAGTATAGGGCTTCCATTATCTTCGATTTGGTTTCAGTGATAAGCAGATTGATGGTATTTCGCAACATATCCACATAAATGTTTCCATTCAAATTTCCATTAATAAACAATGGCCCAATTACTTTGTTTCCTAAAATGCCTGCCCATACATTGATTTTTTTGGAGTACTGGGTATGCCCTTCTACAAAAGCATGAGGATTTTCATTGCTCCAGTACCTGCAGTTATGCTTTTTAACAAATCCATTTAGATAAAGCGGACATTCATCACTGAAGCAGATATTCTATACATGAATGGTATTATCATTAATCGCTGCAGTCATTTGTTCACAAAACTCAACTCGCCTATCGAAATCATTTTTGGTTAACATGCAATATTTTCATATCTGTATTGATGAAAAAAATGCGGAAAAAAATTCGGGTTGTTATTTGGTTGTTTCCACGTCTATTCTTTCGAATTGCTGTTTATGTTGGTAGTTTCCGCTTTAAATTATAGTCGATTTGTGGATTTAGCAAACCCTAATGGGTAACCTTTTGAACAATATTTGAAATAAAAAGTGATATTGCCGAGGGTAAAAGGGGGTGAAGTTGTTTTTTGTTAACAAATTCTCCCCCTTGACAAGTCTTTTGACTTGTTTCGGCATTTTTTCTTTTAATCAGTGGCTTCCGATAAATCCGTGGTGGGAAGTTTTCAAATGAACACCCTGTAGGTGTAAATCAAATAACGAAAGCTGATCAACTAAAATGAATTGTATCTTACTTTGGGTACTTAGTTTGAACATAACTAATGGTTGGTGTGGGATCATTTTATCAAGTATTCTTTTATTAAGAGAGAAACAACGTTATGCTGACCTGTGTCTGGACCACCGTCCTTTGATCGAAACTGCTGCAGCTTTTTCTCCAGTTTTTGTTGTCTCCTTCTCCTCATTACAGCTTCTGGGTTGGAGATTGATCGCGTGAAAGACGTTTCAGGGAGTTCTAAAAACATACAGATTATTCTAATACGACAGTCTAACCGTAAACACTTTTATTATTGATTGATCCATTTCAGCCTCAAGAGACATCTCTTTTTGAAGCTTCTAGTTTCCTAAACTCAATATTCGGGACAATTAATGTAAGCCGGTCAATTCTCAAATGACAGCTAAGGAAAAAAGAACAAAAATCAACTAGTGAACATTTCAAATATGATTAGCCTCATCCTTTTTAAAATATCTATAAGATGAAAATAAAGAAATGCTCACCCGTATATAATTTTTCTGCCACGTTATCCTTTTCGTTAATATCACCGTTTTCGCTTTTCATCCTAGAGAGTTTTTCCTGCTTCTTGAGTTGTTTTTTCTCCCTTTTCGAAAGTTTGCGTCTAAAGCTAGCATTGGAGTCTATCGAACCCATGGAACCAGACTGAAAATATAGAAAGCTAGTGTCTTTGTTCTTGCACAAGTAAATAATAACAATAATAACGGATCGGCATTTAGGAATATATTAAATTCATATAATGTTCCTTAAAAGGCGGAGCCTGGAAAAAAATCTAATGAAATTCTATAAGTTCTATCAGCATGAAAATGACAAGATACGCTGCAGATGTTACATGTTGATGTTACAAAATGATTTAGAAGTGAAACGACTGGCTTCCTTTGCTTTTCTGTTGCAAACATAAGTATGTTTGTACTTTGCACACTATCCTTGTACATCTTCCAGTATCAGTCTTTCACAATACCCTTAAATTCCATCCTTCTTCCAGCGCAACGTCGTGTAATCATAATTATAAATATTCCGTTTAAATAAATATTTATATTTTCAATTCGTTAGTCATAGCCATAATACAAAGCATTGTATTTTATTGTTCTCGCAAAGATGTGGCTTTCTATCAGCATTTTTTTGCGAATAAACTGAATCTGAGCAGCAAGCACTATTTTATCGGAAAAACCAGTAATTCTTGCATAGTCAGTCTAATTTTAACTATTACTGTATTCGCGGAATTCATTCAAAGCATGTTTGCATTTGAATTGTTTTGGAATTGTAATTGGCTCGAAAAGAGAACAATTTAGGCGAATATAAATCGCATTTTAGCTTAACCGCATTTTTCCTCTATATGATCCGGTTTTTTCTAAAGTTCTTCAATGCCAACCCTGAAAATGATTTTTCAAACAATTCCTCTTAACTTCAGTTTTCGAGTTAATAGTATACCGCTTTATCCCGAGGTGGACCTGCATCAGGATATTGAACCCATATAATCACGTCTTTAAGCTCCTTAGGACAGTCGCAGTGGCCCGGTATTTAGGTTAATGCCTACATGACTTCTTTAGTATAAAAACTACAAATTCTATTTTGTAATTATGACCCTTTAAAAATCAACTCACCATCATCTTGTCGTCGACATTCTTCAACAGAAACCTCCCTTCTCTATCGTCCACATGCCAGTTCAATTGCACCAACAAAGGTTTTTCATCCGGTGCCATTTTCCTTTCCGGACACCCTTCGTGCAACTCATAAAGGGCATACGAAGGTACCGACAACATTCTCATGTCTGGACGGAATTTTTCGATCAAGGTACCTATCACATCCTCAACGGTTGCGTCTGAGGCTACGCGAATGCATTTGGTGGCCACCTTCTGTCCACTGTCTTGGAAATAGAAACGCATCACTCCATGGAACTCCAGGTCCTGAAACAAACAGATATGCCATTCATTTACAGTGTCTTTATTTCTAAACCGCTACATAAGAAATATTAAACAAAAGACATACTTCAATGAAGTGGTAATCCTGGGGAAGGCAAAGCATGCCAAATAATCCACTATTTTTTCGTGTCCTTCAGGGTGGCCACAGGCTCTCGAAAAACATGAGAAAACTGAGTATTTCAGAGGAGAAAAAAGAGTGAAACAATGAGTGTAATCGACGTCTTTGAGGGTGGATGGAGCGACTAAAGAACATGATCATCAAACGGAACTACATAACTATTTTATAAGATCAGTTGAACATTAACAAAAAGTAGAGTAAAGGCTGGTTGAGCCTTGAAAAATTGCAACGATTGTGGGGTAACGCCGAGTTAAAACGAAATGTATGGGGAAATCGATGATATGTGAAATATGTCTAATAGGCGCGTAGAATTACCCCGCACAACCTCTAACCCCATTTTTTCATCTTTTGCCTAAAGCTCCTCTGCCAATGAATCGATTTTTATAACTACAAAGGTCTTTCAGCCGAGGGATAGTAATAACCTTGTGTGGAAGGTTCATCAAAATCCAACCATTACTTTACAAGGTATAGACGGGCCAAGGATTAGCGGACAGACCGAAGGAAGTAAGTGACATGGTTTATCCTGATGAATGTCATATAACATCCAAAAAACATATCATATTTTTTAAATTTTTCTCGGTTAGTAGGCGTGGGAAGTTCAAATGATGCACTAGTCGATTTGGGTAAAGTATTCTTATGACATTTTTTGTTCGAATGACGATCTTTCATTCTGCTGCTGGATCGGTACCTGCCCCGTACTGGTTTTAGCATTAAAACAGTATTATATATTTGTCGTTTTCATATTATTTGCGACAAAAACCTGTGTCAAGTTGACTAACTTAATAGCTCACTCAATGGTTTAACTCTATTTAAGGCATGACGAAAAATGTAAGAAATGTCTGGTTTCAGATTTTTGAACACTCAAAGTGCCGAGAAGCAACCACAAAGCTCAGAAATGTCGAAAAAGTTTAGTTTACGGAAATATTCTGCGATTTTTAGTTTTTCGCTCAACATGCCTCTGGACATGTTTTTACAATCTACAAAATACTACGATGACATGATAATATTCACGTTTCAACCAAATCCGAACAATATACCTTCCTAGTTATAAAAAAAATATAAGGAGAATGACCTGAAATGACTGTCATACGACATGGTATTTTGTGATTAACATATCATACAGGTCCGAAAAACATTTCTGGACTCGGAATCTTTCGTGATTACAATATTTTCTGGCCAGCTGACGTGAGAAGCAATATTAAAGGTCGTATGGTTTTAGCTTACTTAATTCATTATGATGTTTAATTTTTTAACTTATGAAAAAATACTAAAAATGAGTACCCTAAAAAGTAATGAGTAACAATGAGAAAAATGAGTCCGTGGCCACCCTGGTTCCCTTGCTCTATATGCGTTCTCTTTTGTAATGTTTTTCGAATCTGCTTATCTCACGAAAGTCAACATTGTGCGGAACATTTTGCTGAATGTGCCAATTCATCAAACCCTATTCCGTTTTTAGATTTGTGTGCACGGAGCCCGTGCCCAGAGCCCCGGCATGATGATAAAAAATTTCCCCTTCCTCCCAACTGTCCTAACTATAATGTAGGTCCTCGGATTCTCTAGTCTAGGATCCGATCCTGCAGTTGCAGGTTCCGAGCTTCCAGTGTGCCAAGGACTCCTACACAAGACAGCACTGATCAAACCCCAATCTGCTTCAGGCTATCCAGTCGATTGTAGCACGTGCCAATCCACATTTTTGAGAACGAGGTAGTAGAATAATTAATACTTGAACCTGTTGGTTATTCTAGTACATCGTTTTTTAAGAAAGGGCGTCGAGTGATTATATGCGCTTATCCAGAGCTTCCGAATTTTAACGCAAGAACCTCTCGTTTCAACCATGGAGGTCAATTCTTAGAAAAGTAATAAAAAATTATATATATATATATATATAACAAAAATAGGAAAATAATGGACAAAATCCGCAAAAAGTGGAGTCGAGCAGAAAATAGGATAGGTAACCCGAGCGATACGTATTTCTGCTGGTTGGCTTCATCAGGCCCGAAATGAATGCACATATGCAACTACAAAAGTAGAGACACATGCCCATACATCCACTTCGTGTGTCTTTTTTTCCTCTACAACTTTGTTTCCTCAGGTTACACCCGTATCCGGATGTATGGGCATGTGTCTCTACTTTTGTAGTTGCATATGTGCATTCATTTCGGGCCTGATGAAGCCAACCAGCAGAAATACGTATCGCTCGGGTTACCTATCCTATGTTCTGCTCGAATCCACTTTTTGCGGATTTTGTCCATTATTTTCCAATTTTTGTTATATACCTTTCTCCGCATGATAATTTTCTCTTTATATATATATATATATATATATATTCGGGTGGATTGATATTTTTAACTTTTAACGAAGGTATCTGTCGTTTTTCATCAAGCCCAATGTCCTTTTGTTTTTATACTGATTACAAGTTCTATCTTCTCTACGTTCGTTCTGAAACACCTTGTGGCTGCAACTTCACCGACGAGTAAGTTGTCTAACATTTTAAATCTGTCCTGTTTTCTTTGCTAGCATCACAATTGTGTTTTCAGAATCCTGATGAAGGCTCCATAGAGAATGCCGAAAGCTTGATTTTATCGTCAAAAAAGTCAACTTAAGCCTAAAAGTTTTGTCAATTTCCCAATTAACAAGTAATTGTATTTTGTACCCAACTGGTCGTTGGCTTTGGCAAAAAACAGTATGTTCCTCGGTTATTCATATCAATAAATATTTCATCAACCAGATGCGGATCTAAGACGTCGCACTGTGAGTCAGGCCTCGGTAGGCAAAGGGTCCCAGAACGCAGGGGAACTAGGGCAGAGAAAATTTGTGTTTTCTGAATCATGGCGCTCCTTCCTTCCGTCCATCTCAGCGAAAAACTGACATACATGCCCGAGATTGCTGAATACGTTAAGGTTCTTGAATTGTTTCTCCTATGACTTTAAAACTTTAAGTATATAGTTGTAGTTACAGCCGCATGGAACTAATGGGATAGTTACGCATATTGAGAATATGACCTTCAAAAAATGCTCAAGTATCGCGTAGTCTCATTTAGAGTTGAAAAATACGAGTTTTGATGCATTCCGTCGATCTCCGTGAAAAAATCGCGATACACCCATCCTCTTACAACCCTCACCCCCGATCTTTTACCCCTACAGGATCTTTAACAAAATGATCAGGATCCTCTGAAACGCCAAAAAAAGAAGTTTGAGCGTTTTTAATTTTTTTTGTTTGTGGCATTTTTCTCTGCTACTGCTGTACAAATTTTCAAAATCCCCAAAGCTTGTTCGTCCATGGCGTATAAGTAGCTTTGTGTAAAAATTTTATCCAAATCCGAGAGGTACTTTCCAAGTTATAAACGGGCCAAAGGTAGACTGACACAGGCCGACGGAAATGAGAGACTCGGTGCGATTGCAATACTTCAATCGCCCGTAGGCGTGGGAAGTAAAATGACATCATATCGTACCTTACACATCCGATGTATATAAGAAACAGGTTGAATTGCAAAAACGCTAGAAATAATTCTTTAAGCTGTGAAGTTTCTCCCATTTCCGTAACTTGAAAACGATGGACGTCTGGAGGTTCCCGCATTTTTTCTCCACGACTACATTCTACCACGTATCTTTATCTAGCCTGATTTCAACAATTGATCTCATAGCCAAAGGCTCAACTCCCGTTACCCGGCGCCTCATCGTTTCCGTGAATCCTGAAGATTGGTAGTTTAATCCTATACTACACTTTCGGTGATAAATAGTCAGATAGCGCAAGAAAAAATTATTGCAAAACTTTTGACTTCTTTTTAGACCACAGGCTTAGAAAACATTTTTTTCTGTTAGACTATCTGGATCATTTATTCGGCTTCAATATTCTGTATTTAGAATCTCGATACGATCATTTGGCGCAGAGATACATATCTGAAAAATGATCCTTTTGTTATCGACCACTGATATCTCGGTAACAGAGAATGTAAGTAGAAACACTACAATGGAGGGATCTGGCGTCGTGCAGGGTTATTAGGGATACATTGAGGTATGAAAAACCTAAGAACGTTAGCCTTCTCATTTTAAGTCCCAAACATCCGGTCGATTTTTCAAAACAAGGCAAAAAGTGACCGTTCTGACTTTTTTTTGAAATCATTACCATGGAAACAAAAAATAAAATACATCAAAGATTACAATCAAATAGGAGGTTTATTCCAGTTTTCGGTTATCGAGATATCAGTGTTCGATGACAAAAGGATCCTTTTTCATTCAAAGTCAGATAACTCCGCGCCATTTGATCGCATCTAGACTTTAAAAACAGTATACTGAAACTGAATAAACGGGCTATCTGATCCATATGATGGCCTAACAAAAAAAATTATGCCCGTGGACTAAAAAGAAGGCACACATTTTGCAAAAAATGTTACTTGTGCTATCTGTTGGAACTGCATGAGAACTATTGCTCCTAAAATTTTTCTGCTAAGAAACCGGAAAACAAGAATCCTGAAGCTTCAAAATGCTTTTTTTAGTCTAGATATGACCAAGTTTTACCAAAATACAGCCTGTCAAAGATCACCGAAAACTGATGGATTTTTTTCTTGCTCCCTTAATTTTTTGAGTACCTAGTGTAGAATGAACGCAAGATCATTCCTTATTCCTTATTCCAGTATTATCAAAACACTATTGCGGCTAGCCTGCTGATTGTAATATAATATGCCTTTAAAGAGTTATTTCAACGTCCTGCTATCATTTAAGATATTAGAAAACAACCGTTTGCCACACCCTGTATACATATATGTAAGTACGTAGAGTCTCATATATACACGCGCATTAAGTCAAAAGTTTTCTCATTTTCTCCTGAAAAATTTCGCTTGTAATTGGTGAGAACGAAGCAGACACTTAT